TAGGGGTACTATGCACTTTGACTGAATTGGTGGGGAGGGGGAGCAGAGATTATTTGCTGCTATGCCTCAGGCGGCAAAACATTCCGACCTGGCCTAGCTTGAAAGGACTGAAGATTACTATTTCTGCATTTGTACTCCTGACAAATCATAAGCTCCTACTGCTATCAAAAACATTTCTATTCTTAATAAAATGAGTTTTTCTCCATCAGTGATGTTCTAACTACTGTACTGCTTGTTGCATTTAAAGCTCCAATTAAAAGGCTGAGACTACAAGGGACAATAACCTACTACATTTCACTTCCCGTAACCATGTGGTTATAGGAAGGGACACAGTGACTGTGTGTAATCTTGTTACTGCCACTTTTTAAATTACCTCTACGTATAATTTCAAATGAAGTTATTTGGGTTGGATCCATAACATTAATTAGCCATATTTAGTCTTAGAATCCCTTTTTAACTCTAACATGCTGATTTGAATTATTTTAAGTCCTACTAAAATCAATGAAGCTTTCTTCCAAACATGTTTATGATGAGAGGCAGAAGTAAATAAATTGCTGTATCGAAAGCTTGTCTGTGCCATCACGTGACAGTCTATTTATCAGCACAAGGACCACATCAATTTGCATTTTCTTCACAATTAAGGTTAGGATTGTCATGTTTGCTCATTCCTACCCATTTTCTCTTATACAGTGGTACCTCGGGTTAAGTACTTAATTCGTTCTGGAGGTCTGTTCTTAACCTGAAACTGTTCTTAACCTGAAGCACCACTTTAGCTAATGGCGCCTCCTGCTGCCACTGCACCGCTGGAGCACGATTTCTGTTCTCATCCTGAAGCAAAGTTCTTAACCTGAAGCACTATTTCTGGGTTAGCGGAGTCTTTAACCTGAAGCATATGTAACCTGAAGCGTATGTAACCCGAGGTGCCACTGTACTTGATTGAATACTTTGATCTTGTCTTATTTTCCACTGTCAGTGATAATTAAAGTTGCTTATCAATTTCAATTGTTGCTACTCTCTATAAATTGCAAGTTGTAGCCAACAGTTACATGAATTCACATCCCATCCATCCAAGGAGCTGAAAATGGCATTGATGGGATTATAACATTTTATGCTTTTAACACTGTGAGGAGTGTTAGACTAAGAGATGGTGACTTGCACAAGGTTATTGGTGCAATTCATGACATGTATAGCCCCTACTCTCCTTTTTAAAAACAAGTGTTTGAAAACCTGTATTTTTGCCAAGCCTTCTTTGTTGATGAAATTAATCAAATGAATCTTCCTCCATGTATACACTTTTTATTCCTCCATCTTTTTATTATTATATGTCATTTAACTTGTAGTCCCGTGGAACGTTTTAAAACAGCCCTTAGCTGTAGGTGCTAAATAAAAGGTATTTCTGTACAACTACCACCCACATTAACTGTCTGAAAGACTTACTGTAGGTTAATCAAATTCATCCCTTGACCCTATATGATCTATTAAAGATTCATATGTAATGGATTCAAACCTAGGTAATAGATTCATATAAACCAGTAGCAATATATAAAGCAAAAAGGAGAAATGGGCACCCCTGTCTCACTTCGACAAATATGCTGAATAGTACAATGGCATCTCTCAGCCCTCGAGGGCCAAAGCGATTCAGTTCAAGTAGCACTGCAGTACTATTTTCAGCTCAGGGAAATAGTAAAGCAACAAACACACAAACCAGAAGTCTTGCTTGCTTTCTCTTCTATTATCGTTTCAAATATTGAAGACAGCAAGAACACCCCTGCAGTGCTTCCCCCCCGCCACCCTGGGGGAATATTTCTGCACTGCTTTTTCAACCACCGGTAGAAAAATCTCCCCAGGATTGTTCCAAATGCTTCTGCAGGCTTTAGAAGGCCAGAAGCGGGAGCTGGGTTAGCCCTGCAAGCACTCTGTCTGGCTAAAAAAACAACAGATGAAAATCAAACACTGCAGTATGGGCAAAGGTTGAGGAGCTGGCAGGAGAGGAGGGCCGGATGAAGCAGCTGGTCTCTCAGTGGCACTCTAGCAAACAGCGGCTAACTGAACATGCTTATCGCTTGATCACTTCTACATTATTGCTTCCTTTAACCATGTTATTTGAGAAGCAGGATTCTGAGCAATGAATTGCTGAGAAAATCCCTGCCTTGAAAGGCATATTGTTTCAAGGAAACATCCACAGGGAACAGAAACCACAGCAGAGTGCTTGACTTAGAAGATCTGTTCTATGCAAATGTTTAAAGGATGACTGTCTAAAGGCTCAACCACATTTCCACTTGCCCTGCTACTTCCCCCCAGGAAACACCACTGTTTGCTACTGAATCCAATGTCAATTGGGTTTTCTGGGAGAAATCAGTGGTGCAAAAGCAAAACCACTTGGACCCATGTTTTCCAGGGTGGGACAAGCAAACCCCGAGTACTGCCCGACAGTAACTGGCAAATCAACTCTGGATGCTTTACTTTACTGGATCCTAATGAGGAAGAAGAACCCAGGCACATACAGTTTAAAATTACGGTTACCCTCACCATATTTTCATGCTAACATTGGTAACAAATATAAGCATATAATTTTAACCACATATTGTGATAATATCTGCTAGATACGGACACGCTAATCCTAAACACCACAATCGTATTCAGAATAAGATATTCTGTTGGATTTATACACGCTTACCTGCAGATAAAATGGCAGTCTTTGTTGGGATTAAGACCAAGTTATTTTACTTACTCATAACATCCAAATCTGTTTAGGGCTACAGCCTCAATTTTGCTGAATGTGCTTATTTACATTTAGGAATAAGTGTGTATGTGTGTGTGTGAATGAATATGATACCCAGATCTCTTATGCTTCATTCTAGTTTTTCTGGACTGGGTAGAATTGTCCTCATTGCAGCAGCCAGAGTAGAATCACATTCATAGCAAGAAATAATAAAAAAAAGCTCAACAACTTTTTTGGCCCCCCCTAACAAAAATCCTGGCTATGCCCATGGCAAGAAGGACACCACAATATCTTGCCCTGCCCCACTTGTCATATATTCCCTTCGATACAGGAGTATAGTAGTTCCTAACTTCACTCTGCAGTCAATAAAAAGCCTGCCAGCTGCCTTTGGCCTCTGTCCTACCTTTGGCACCTGGGTGGCTTACTTGAGTTATACTCAAGGACTGGGCTTGGGCCCTAGCCTTTGTGTCAGTAGAAATCTTATGGCTGATCCTATGAGCCAGAATTCTGGAATACCAAGTAATTAGATTTTACTCTGAATTACCTAGCGAGCTAGACATACATTTCCCTTAATACAGACGTGCCAGATGTCAAACCCTTGCCTAATGCAATAGGCTCTGTCAATATTCTATAACTGTAAGGACTCTTTCTTCCCACTTTGTAGTGGTAGTAGTAGCAGCAGCAGCAGCAGCTGTAATAATAATAATAATAATAATAATAATAATAATAATAATAATTATATTATTTATACCCCGCCCATCTGGCTGGGTTTACCCAGCCACTCTGGGCAGCTTACAGTACATGTAAAACATATTAAAACATCAAACATGAAAAACCTCCTGGTACAGAGCTGCCTTCAGATGTCAAGGGAGGAGAGAAAAAGCCCACCATAAGGCCATCTACTTTTATTCAGTTTGTGCTGTGTTAGCACAACCTGGCTATGCTGGAGAACTGAGCCTGAATGATGGATGGACTGTGCTAGTTAATTTCAGCCATTTATACCAGTGCAAATTTAACTATGAAAACCTTTCTTTGCTTACAAGAAAAATGCTGGACTCAGCCCCAAATGGGCCAAATCAATCTACTGAAATTAATGGAGTAATATTAGATTATGAAGTTGGCCTTAGTTTTTGCTTCAAACTTGGAATTCTAATTTTAGGAAAGGCCAGTAGAACTGATGATTCACAAAACTACTTAAATCTTAACTTAATTAATTACTTCAGGCTTATACTGAAAAGATCAAAAACTGGCTTTGGGATTTCTGCACTTAGGTTTGTAGGCTGGAATTGCAACCAGTGTCAAGAATGAAACCCTTTCAGTTCTAGATCAGGATTTGAACTGATGCCAAAATAGGCAATGATGCCAGAAACTCACCCCCACACCTGGAGCCAAATGTAAAAAACCCCCAATAAGAACTATATTTAGCCAGGCACTAGAATGTTATATAACAAAGGAATGGGCATGGCTTTGGGAGAGGGCAAGGCTGGTGTCCTTTCCTATGGAATCAGAACTTCAGAGCTCCAACTTCCAATTCGCTGGGACCCTATCTCAGGTCAGACTCCTTTTGCAGCCCCAGGTTCTCAGCCACCAATCCACTAAGACCTTTCCCGGGCTTAGCCTCTTCCATTTTTTTGAGCTCTTTCTATTCCTCATCATTATCTGCCCACCCTCTCTGTGATGTCTTTGCAGGGTAGCAAGTCCAATGGAGGCATCACAGTTAACGTAGGAGTAGCTATCTATACTTCGTCTAAGTAGACGAAGGGTGGCTAAGCTGTGACCCTCCAGAAGTTGTTGGACTATATTTCCCTCATCCCCAACCATCAGGTTTGATGGGAATTGTATGTTCAACAACATCCGGAAGCCCATAGGTTAGCCATCCTTAGCTTAGACTCTCACTGCTTCCATTGTGCCCGTTAAATACCCTGCTGTACTGGACAAAGATGTGGTTCCTGCAGGAAATAATTATTGTAGTGCCAAAAAAAAAAGGTATACCAGTTGTTTTAGGTCAGTTCCATCATCTAGCCCGCCATCCCCTCCTTCCAGGTATGTGTTCGAGCCCTATAAAGTTTGAGCCCTATAAAGTTCTTCTGCAGATGTCAAATATCTGGCAACATATAGTCATGGCAATCCATGCTTACAAAGAGCCCTATCTGAATCAGAACAGCAGGGGAGGGGGGAACATCCTGAGGAAGTGGGGAAGTGGTTGCCTATCACAGATCCGAGTTTCAGTAGTAGGACAAAATAAAATAAAATCCTGCAATGGAATAACTGAAATACCACCAGCTGCCATCTTGAATAATATTTACTGAAATAATATACCAAAATAAGTCAGTAAGTCTCGTGTAGGGCTGACATAGCAAGCAGTTTTGGGGTGTATAAAAATGCCCATCACCGTATTTCCCCCACACAGTCCCTGCCCTAAGGTTTACATGCTAAAAGACCAAGCACAAAAGGAAAAGAGATGGAGTGGGAGAGAAAAAACAAACAGGCTTAGTTACAAAGTTCTTATTAAAAACACATTGAAATTGGACAGTTTAAGGAAAAGAGCCATACTGAGTTGGTCTCTCACCTAAGCCAGTGGAGTGGCTTTCTCTCTCCCCCTCTACTGCAGTCTGATGGAACAGTGTATTAAAATATGGTATGTGCTATGCTTGCATCCTGAAACCATGGTGTACAAATCAATAAAGGTCATACAATACAGCTGGTCTATGCAAATTAATACAGATAGCAGGGAATTAGAGAGCAGAGACCAAAAACCTCCACACTAAAAAGAAAGAAAGCAGAAGGCACAGTGTCTGGGGCTGCTGGGACTCACCATCTTTATGGGGCAACAGACTCCCCTAGTACACATTATGAGAGAGTTCTGCATGTCCATGGCCACAAAGTTGTCGCCCAGGAACTTACAGGAACAGAAACCAAATGTATAGGAAAGCAGAAACATAGTTGTTCAGTTGCAATCAATTAACCTCTATGTTATAGACAATGGCCTTTCTTTAATGACCAGATGCAATTTTTGCTAGGCAAATAAGTTGATTTATCTTCCCTGAAAAGTGTATCATACATTCAAAGAGGAATATCTGAGGCAAGGATAGAGTTCATCAACAGAATGGAATCAGCCACTTCACTAGCAGCTCTGCACAGCAGTTGTAGGGAATAAGAGAACTAGAGTTGTGAAAGAATTTACTTAGCAGGTGGGAATAAATCTTACTGTATTTAACTCAAAGTAAATGAATAGGATGCCTGTAAAGTTAATCTTCATGGGAAGGAGAAATACCCACAGCAAGTAAAGCTGTGCATTGACAGAAAGTTAAGAACTACTGAAGTCACTAGCAAGATGTTGTTCCTCTTTCTTTCCCGAGTTATGGTGCTAGATTCTCTGCTTTGTGTGCATGGTTTCTTTTCTTTTTCTCTTTTCCTAGCCTCCTTGCACATAGCAATGTGATTGCTGCATTTTCACATAGCTTCCCCCCCCTTAAATTATTTTTTATTATCTTTACCCAATCCAAAAAGCCATTAGTAGATCACTGACTGCTGATTTGTCTTCTGCTGCTGAACAATCTTGCCAAAGCCCCCTCTGCCCACATCGTAGTCTGTTCGGTACTCATCTCGTACCTGGCCACCTGTTTTCCCACGGCCATACTGCCGCCCTTCCTTAAACCCAGCATCCCAGTCTGTTCGGATGATGCGGTCGTCCAGACGGGTTCCATTGATGAACCGCATAGAATGCTCTGCTTCTGCTCTTGTGTAGTACTCCACAAAGCAGAAGCCACAGGGGGTTTTCTTCACTTTGTCTAGCCCCATGACTATGCGCTTGACATCCCCACACTTGGAGAAGAGCTCATGAATTTGTTCCTCTGTGGTGTAGAAAGAGAGGTTGCCCACATAAAGTGTGCAGGAGTTTTTCAGGGACTTTTCTTGCAGGTAACGACTTCCCTGGAAGTGCTGGTCCCGATACATGCTGAACTCGCAGTACGAGTCGCTGTTGAGGCTGCTCAGCGTTGTGCTCAACACTCCCGACATCTCGCCCAGCTTCCGGTGTTGCAACAGCGGTTCCTTCACACGGCTCCTGAGCAGACCTAGGGAGAAATGTTTTAGCCAACTTTATGAGTACATCACCCACTTTCTTTTGTGAGCCAGTCACACTGGTGTGACTTTGTTCAGACCATCTTCCTGGGCTCCATTCCAATCCCTGTTTCTTCATCCCTGTCCTTTTGCTATTTGCCAGGACAAATACACATACATCTTATTTCAGGTTATTAGGAGAGTGCCTTATGAAACCTCATAGTAGGACATCAGTATATTGCTTGTACCAATGCAACCCTGGCAAGTGTTTTCACAATAATTAATTGTGCTGGAGGCTGCATAATGCAGATGAAAGCCTTTTAAGCCTACAGAAACCAGTATTTAGGTATAAGCAAGAATGGACCCCAGTTAACATAATAATAATGATGATAATAATAATAATAATAATAATACTACTAATAATAATATTTTTATACCCCGCCCATCTGGCTGGGTTTCCCCAGCCACTCTGGGCGGCTCCCAACAGACTTAAAAGTACAATAGAACATCAAACATTAAAAACTTCCTTAAACAAGGCTGCCTTCAGATGTCTTCTAAAAGTGAGACAATTGTTTATTTCCTTGACATCTGATGGGAGGGAGTTCCACAGGGCGAGTACCATTACTGAGAAGGCCCTCTTTCACACACTGGGATATATAACGGGCACTATTCAGTCCAATTTAAAGCATTTTTAGGTCTTGTTGAATTCACTTGAAAGATATGCAGTGCAATACTATGTAAGTCTACTTGGAAACAATGCACTATTTTCAGTAGGACTTACTTCCTAGTAAACGTGCTAAAGATTGCAATATTATGTGTGTGCTTAACACTTTCACTGAAAGCAAATGGTTGTAAAACAATGGTGTAGTGATTGTTGTTTCAACCACTCTTGACTGTGCCACAAAGCTAGGTTGGTGTTCTTGAGGTCTAAGGAACAGAGGAGGAACTTTCCCTATTTACAAAGTCCTTTTCTTCAGGAAATCCCCCATAAAGAATCCTTAGATGCTGTCACCAGTCAAGCTGAACTTCTCCAGGGGTAGCCAACATGGTGCTTTTCAGATGTTGTTGGGCTACAACAGGTATTACCCCTGCTCCTTGCACTTGAAAGTTGGGGTTAATGGGAACTGTAGTCCAGCAACTTCTGCACAGTTCCTTGCAGGAAAGAGGCTCTAAGTGAACATCTTTGGACTTATGACTACAAGGAAAGCAAAACGGAGGGTAAATCCTCATTCTTTATACACCACTACACATCCAAACTTTATGACTATCTGTACAGTAAGGAAATGTTTACTAAAGTTATGAGAGCAACTACTTGAAACCCTGCTGTCTATGATAGTGCTAATCAAATTTAAAACAAAATTAGCAAATTGCTTTTGAAAAGACCTAAGTAGAGGCCTCCTGGATCAGACCAAAGCCCTATCTAGCCCAGCACACCTTTTCACCCATTTTACCCATACTTTTAAACCCATATATGTAGTGAAAATACAACTCCAAGAGCTAAGAACCAAGGGTTCACTGGATCCGAGTTCACAAAGGTAGGTGTGCTTAGGACTGCAATTACTCAAGACTCCTAAATGGAGGCATGCTTACTCAGAAGCATGCTATAGCAACGTCAAGTAAGTTTATTCTTACATAAGTGTGTTTAGGACCGTAACCTTAGTGGGATCAGTTAAGATTCTGCAAGCTTAGAATCCAGAAGCCTGTTATAGGACACCTTGGGGGAGGGGACGACAGCAATTTGCAGATAGAAGATAGTAAAGAGAACCACAGTAAACCACAATGCAGCACACTTAATGGACAACCGAAGCCTGAACAAAAGAAACCTGCAACCCTACACACATTTCTACTGAGAAGCATACCCTGAGCTCAAGGACTGGCCTCCTTCTGAGATAAACGGGCAGAGGATTGCAGCTCTTGTCACGTGCAACTTTTCATACTTTAAGAAGAGCGGCTGCCGCCATCGAAAGCGGCCCCAGAAGTTGCAGAAGGACTTGCACGTGTGAGAGAGACCAGCCGAGAGAGCGCTGAGCGACACGCATCCTTTGTACTATTTCACCCAACCGCGTGGCGGTGAACGCGCTCGCGGGTAGACAAGGAGCACCTTCCTAACGCCCCTCTGGACTCCACGAGTGTGGGGGAAACCCCGAAACCTGGCGTGTATCTCTCCGCGCGCAGGGCTATCCTACACATACCAATATTACAGGCTGCTTCGTCTGCTCGCTGCCGAGTCCTATTCTAAGCCCAGAAAGCATTGCATTGTGGGAGGAGGGGGAGGAGGTTCTCACCCTTCGAACGAGGCTTCCTTCCTTCCCTCTTCCTCAACTAACCGTCCCCGCGCGCGCACTCGCCCGACGCTGCGTGCGTGCGTCACGCGGAGCAGCCCCGCCCACGGCTGCCTCGGGGAGCCAATCGGGGCCTGCGAAGTAGCGACGTGGAGCGCGCAGTCCCCCCCCCGCCTTTCGTGCGAGGGCCTCCTTGAACTTTGACCTTAGGCCTCGAGCGCGAGGCAAACAGACGGCCGGGTGTCGGGCCCTCCTCCTCCTCCATTCGCCTGAGAGAAGTGAGAGGTCGCTCTCGTTCTTCCTCCCTCCTCCTCCTCCTCCCTCCTCACCCCCTCTTCCTCCCGGCCCTCCCTTTGCCTGTTCCCGCGCGCGAGTGCCAGGCGATGGTTCTGACCTCCGTGCGGCGCGCGCGCTAATCTTCCCCGCCCCCCGCCCGCCTCGCCGTGTTCCACCCCCGCCTCGGGGAAGAGCGCCGCGCGGAACCGTCGCCGCCGCCGCCGCCGCCTCGTCCTCCGCCGCGCTCTCTCGCCAGACAAGGGCCCGCCCCGTCCCACCCTTCGCCGCCGCCACACACAGCACTGGGCGACGTGGAGCCGGCGAGACGCGGCCCCCACCGGGACCATCAACATGGCGAGTGCCTCGTACCACATCTCCAACTTGCTGGAGAAAATGACGTCGAGCGACAAGGACTTCAGGTAAGGCCTCTCAGGTAGCCCGCTCCAGGCTCGGCCCAGGCGAAAGAGGAGCCTCCTCGCCCTCATACCCCCGACTCACCGATCTCCCCCCCCCACTCCGCCGCCGCCTCGGCCTTTTCCGGCTTGCCCCGGCCAGACCGCGGCCGCGTCGGTTCTCCTGCCGCACCCAACGTGCCTCGGGCCTGGGTTGGCGCCCGTTGGGCAGGAGGAGGAGGAGGCCGAGCCCCGCTCGTGGCTTTTGTGCTCCGCAGGGCTGCGAAGGGGAACCAGGAGGCCCTGGCGCGGCCGCACGGGCATCGCTTTTCCTCGGAAAGTTGCCCGCAAGTTTGCTGTTTCCTACGCGCCCCGGAGGCTGCTCGGCATTTTGTACTTTCCATTATGCTCGTCCGTGTTGCCGTGTAAGGTGGACTTCTTTCCCCTGCAGTCTGTATTTGCAGCCTTAAAGCAGGTTTAGTTGGAACAAAAGCTGTTGACCATTGGGACTTATAGTAAACGGGAAGAGAGTATCAAGGTGTGAATATTGCGATGTACATAAGGATTACTTTTAACATCAGCATTGGCCCATTGGATTCTGTGCTTACACACTGGCTCTGTTTTAGTTATTTGTTATACAGTATAGTGATTTGGTTTTTATACATCCAGTTTATATTACAGAAGATGGATAAAATGTTGCAGACACACTGGTTTTTCTCTTTGGTGTGGTAGAGCATGCTTCCTTTCATTCCTCATTAGTAAATAACAGTAATAAGAATGTGGCCAACAAAATGGTTTTAATTTTTATCCATAATGTCATAGGTGGAATTAAATTGAACACAAACATTCTTAATCAGGCAATACAGTTGATCCTTTGAAATAGTATTTTTCAGTACATGCAGTACTTTTGACAAGAGTTTAGTATTGGCTCAAACTTCTTGTGGTTTCACATTCCTTGTCAAAGATGATCTTAGTATTATAAAATTCCTTTAGAGAATGTACTTTGATATACATGTGGTAGTCTTACTTGTATGTATGTGCGTAGCAGAAAAGGTATTCACATACATGCATTTTGCATATTTTTTACTACATAGATATTGTTCCTGTATAAGAATTTGTCATGTTTCATGTAGTTGTAAGTGTGGTAATATAGAAACATGAATTCACCTGTGAAGGGCAGTAAGACAGTGCAAAATCCTGTGGCCCAACCCTGATTCTGTATAGTTTGGTTAAGGTATTAGAAGTATTGCACCTGCATCAGTTTAATGAACCAAGTTACTTGTCACATCTTCATACTAGTTTGATTTTGTTTTGCGTTACTCAGAATGAGTGCTGATCCACTCTTGAAAATGAACCATATATGAGCTAGTTAGAGGCACTCTCTGAAGATGTCACTCCACCATAATTTGACTTGCCATTGTGAGCTCCTTCATTAATGTGCAGCTCACCTGTTGATATATTCCTCTGTATTTTAAACTTCTTGTATGCCTTTCATCTGCTTCCTTTTCAGCCCTCATGTCAGTCAGAAAAATCCTTCTTTGTGTAATTGGTTTGTGGTTCTGGCCTAATTGCATATGAAGGTCTGGAAGAAATTGGGAAAGTTGGGGAGACCTATTCTAATCCCACCACCACTACTTTTCTAAGCCCCCCCCCCCATACAGAGTTCCTAACTTTGAATGGAGGACCAGAAGCGTACCCATGGGCTCAAACACACCTTCCTCTCTCCCCACCCTTTCCTTTTCAGAGCTTGCTACAATGCAGCAGCTTTATTTTTGTACAAATGGTAATGCTAAATAATCATGTTCATTTTCAAGCTGGAGTTTGAAGCTATTTGTGATCTTTGATTAATGCTACCTATGGTTAGTATGTTACATTAGTGTAAAAGTAATGTGTCTTGATTAATTTCAAAAAGAGTAGAAGGCGGGTATTTTCACACAAAGTGGGAGCATAGAAACGCATGATCTCACATGGCATGTGTTTTACCTATGCACTAAGCTGCTGTGGGACGTTTTGCATTTTCCTGTACATGTGAGGGAGAGAAAATGTAATACCATTTATCCCAACAGCTAGTTTTATTCACTGGAGTCAAGAGGTACAGGTAGCAATCATTCAAGATCATACCTTTGGCATTTGCTCAAACTGTACTCCTATTGACCAGGAAAGAGAACATTGAGGACTTTCTGTACCCATTACCACTACAGCCGGAAACAATTGAAGCAGTGCACAAGAATATAAAAATGAAGTAAAATATTAAAAGTACTTTTCTTAAAAGACAATAAAGCCATTTATTCAAACTCTAAAGCAATATAATCATTCCTACAAACTCTAAAAACTATAAAGCATTTCTACAGATGTACAATCAATATTCCATAAATGATCAGGCTTTTCCCTCTACATAATTCCATCCTCATTTCAGACATTGTGATATATTGTGATGTTCAGCTGGTGATATATTGCCATGTTGAAAACCTGATATCGTCACACCTCAGGGAAAGCCTTCTTAAAAAGTCTTCACTTAGTTCCTAAACATCATGATGTTTGGGCTGGTAATTGATTGCAGAGTTTCCAGTACATCTCTGGGGCATGTGGTACTAGGTGTAGCAGCATGATGGAGCCATCTTTTTTCCATGATTTCTTTTTAAAAATGAAGCTTTGAAGGCAGGAGCTAGGTTTGTTACCGTTTTCCATAAATGCTGCAGAACCACATTTTTAATACTACGAAAGCATTCTATATCTTTGAAAGAAGTTTCAAATAATTTACTGTGTGCATTGAAGATACACGCAAGATGACTTAATACAAATTGTTATCGATCATCTCTTAGTTTTCACTGTCGAATTACACTTCAACATTTTTAATAAATTTAAAATGAGTAAAAGTATGAGAAATTGCAAATCCCCTATTATAATCAACTTTAAAGTTTCAACAATATATTGTAAATATTTTAGGGCTCAGACCTTGAAATGTGTCCAGGAAAAGCAAGTGGTGAATAATTATTTGGATTGGTGGCTCTGTTTATTGAGCCTTTTTTCCACATTACACTGATTTCTATCTATTTAGAATACATCTCTTACTGTTGTCACAGTTGGGGCGCATATGTGCATATAAATGGGTATACTGAAGAATTAATCTAATTCTTAAAATGTGAATGGCCATTTTGTACTTGCAGTTAATGTGTTTTGTGGTTTTGCACTCAGTAATGCATATTTGTGGCCAAAATTCCTGCCCTTGCTTGGTATTATGGATATAGAACCAGCGGGTGATAGGTTTTTCAAGATATATTCAGCCTTGCCATTTATTTATTGCTTAAATAACTGAGTGGCACACTGCATCTGCCTTCCTTCCACTGTTGATGCTGTTTAATTATTTTCTGGATTTGTAATAATAATAATAATAATAATAATAATAATAATAATAATTTATTTATACCCCGCCCATCTGGCTGGGCCTCCCCAGCCACTCTGGGCGGCTTCCATAGAAACCAAAAATACAGTAAAATATCACACGTTAAAAACTTCCCTGAACAGGGCTGCCTTAAGATGTCTTCTGAATGTCAGGTAGTTGCTTATCGCTTTGACATCTGCTGGAAGGGCGTTCCACAGGGCGGGCGCCACTACCGAGAAGGCCCTCTGCCTGGGTCCCTGTAACTTGGCTTCTCGCAGGGAGGGAACCGCCAGAAGGCCCTCGGTGCTGGACCTCAGTGTCCGGGCATAACGATGGGGGTGGAGACGCTCCTTCAGGTATACTGGACCGAGGCCGTTTAGGGCTTTAAAGGTCAGCACCAACACTTTGACTTGTTCTCGGAAACGTACTGGGAGCCAATGTAGGTCTTTCAAGACCGGTGTTATATGGTCTCAGCGGCCGCCCCCAGTCACCAGTCTAGCTGCCGCATTCTGGATTAGTTGTAGTTTCCAGGTCACCTTCAAAGGTAGCCCCACATAGAGTGCATTGCAGTAGTCCAAGCGGGAGATAACCAGAGCATGCACCACTCTGGCAAGAGAGTCCGTAGGCAGATAGGGTCTCAGCCTACGTACCAGATGGAGCTGGTAAACAGCTGCCTTGGACACAGATTTGACCTGTGCCTCCATGGACAGCTGTGAGTCCAAAATGACTCCCAGGTTGTGCACCTGGTCCTTCAGGGGCACAGTTACCCCATTCAGGACCAGGGAATCCTCCACACCCGCCCGTCTCCTGTCCCCCCAAAACAGTACTTCTGTCTTGTCAGGATTCAACCTCAATCTGTTAGCCACCATCCATCCTCCAACCACCTCCAGACACTCACACAGGACCTTCACCACCTTCACTGGTTCTGATTTAAAAGAGAGGTAGTTGTATCATACATTTTGACTAATACCGGGGTTGGAAACCTGTAACACTCTAGATGATGTTGGACTCCAACTCATCCCTGGCAGGTTTCCCCGTCATTGGACTTAATTTTTTTATGGCTGGTCACTGTATTAAACTACAATGAATATGTTAAAGCAGTGGTTCACAAACTCTTCTCTGGGCTACACTTTCAGAATAAAAATTTGCTTGTGCCACACAAAAAAATTTATTGATAAGAAATACATTGGGAAACAAAAAGAAGCAACTCCTAGCTTTGCTTCATTTATAACATAGAACATAACTACTTTATAATATGATCATGGGCATCCATAAAGTATAAAACAATGCAGCTACATAAGAACATGAATCATTTCCAAAATATACAGTGGTTACAAACACTTTGGGTTACAAACTCCACTACCCCGGAAGTAGTACCTTGGGTTGAGAAGTTTGCTCCAGAATGAGAACGGAAATTGTGAGCTGGTGGCAGCGGGAGGCCCCATTAGCGAAAGCACGCTAATGTTAAGAACAGTTTCAGGTTAAGAATGGTCCTTCAGAACAAGTTTGTGACCCGAGGTACCACTATAATTATAAACGAGCCTCTTACATACGTACCTTAAGCAGTGCTTTTTTTCAGAGGGTACGGAGGGGTACACATACCCCTAAACATTTTGTGAATCTGTACTTTTGTCCATTTACTGTATTTATTTTTCCAGATTTGAACTTTAAAAAGGTGGTTTTCTTGAGTCAAACTTTTTTTTAGAAAAAAAGCACTGACCTTAAGTATGTATACCAATGCGATGAGAGGTATGAGCTTGCAGGATCACTTGATGCTCTTGCTCTCATTTTGAAAATATAGCAACAACATCTATTCATATTCTTCAACTTAAAAAATTATATAACACTACACTGAAATGTTTAAATGTTTCTTTGAATCTTCCCACTACACTTGCCATCCTCTCCTGCCCTTTGAGAAGTGTTGTGTTAAAGCCATATCCATAAAACAAAACCCGACAAGCAGAAGCCAGCTACTGGTGTTTTCTTTACCTACCTGCAAAACTTCAGACAGGTGCTATGCTAAGATGTATAAAAAACAGTATAGTGCTTCAGTAGCTGTCATCATTTAAGAACAAAAGTATCTATCTTAAGACAAAAGAGCAAAAAGCACGCACCAGCAGTGGTAGCTGACACAGTGCTTTCCAGACATTATGGTTTGGAACTCCCACCATCCCTGACAAATCACCATGCTGTCTGTGCTGGTGGGAGTTGTAGTTTAGAACATTTGGAAGAACCGTGTTGGCTACTCCTGTTGTACAGGGGTGGCCAGGCTAGTGAGTGTTATGGGAAACAGAAGACCCCTGTGTAATATTTATTGACCAAGTCTCCATTAATAAAAACCACAGTAAACAATAACAATCTTTTGTTCATGACATAGTATAAAGTTGTTTCCAATTTTCTGTGCAGCTGTTATTTATTACATTTATAATCTGCATTTCATTAGGCTTATTATTATTTTATTTTCATTATTTCATTAAAATTTGTATACTGCCTAATACTTACAGGTCTCAGGGTGGGTATAGAGTTCTGCGGTGTCACCCTTCCAAACTTGCTTAGTGTTAGTAAAGTTGTTACAATATGTGCCTTTGAACTGTGCTCTAGAACCGATCTATGTTCTAGCATAAAGATATTGCATATGATAACTTCTTCAATGTAATAAAATATTACAAATTTATTAAAAGAGATATAGTAGTTTTCATAGAGATACTATGAAAACTACTATTAAAATATTTGCACCCTAATATTCTACTATTCAAAAGTAGCATGTTGCTTATTAGTTATGAATGACATCTAATGCTACCATTCTGTTTATGGAATGGATTTTGATTCAGTGGAAGCATCCACTATAACGTAAGAGTAGGAGAGGTGATTTTTACTGATTTTCCCCTTCCTGCTGCAAGTCCCCCTGCACCACCTTTCATGCCTTTCTGGAAGGCCTCTCAGCCTTTTGGATCAGGGTTTGTTGGGGACACAAGTGGCTGCAGTGAGAAGGGGGAATCTGCAAAAGTCATCTGCCATTAGTGAACTTTGGGGGATGGGAATACAGTCGAGTTGTCATTTGTGTACATTTAATTTCCGCAATCACAGCTTTACATAGTTGGTGATCAGCCAGCTGACACCGCACAAATTAAATTAAACTCTCTGCCTTGCTTTTGGGGCTCTGAGAAGTTCTTGCTACACAAAGCTTTTCCAGAACCAAGTATGTAAGGCAGAGAGCTAAAAGCTCTTCCTTGCATTGGCAGGGGGCAGGGGGAGACCTGCTTTGGTGCGGGCTTTGGGAAGGTAAGGATGCTTGTATGGGTCAGTTGTTTTAACACTGCAATTTTGGCTTTATGTGCCATCCCCAGAATGTAACCCCTGTGCAAGTTGCAAGTCAAATGTATACACTTGATATGGTTTTGAATGTAAGCCCATTTGAATATGAATCGTGGAAAACATTAACTTAGATTGTGCTGTAAAGCTATAGTATACAAATTGAATTGCCTTTTCTTTTGTATAGGTTTATGGCAACAAATGACTTGATGACTGAACTACAGAAAGATTCTATCAAGTTAGATGATGATAGTGAAAGGAAGGTTGTGAAAATGATTCTGAAGTTGCTGGAAGATAAAAATGGTGAAGTACAAAATTTAGCAGTCAAATGGTATGTATGTGTCTGTGATTAGAGTTTTTAAATTCTTATGCATTGACTTGATTCTATATTGAGCATATAAGAATTGCTTTGTTTGTCTAGTCCAGCATTTTGTCTCCATAAAATGCATGTTTGATGCCCCTGAGAAGATCACCAGCAGAGTATAATGGAGATAGATCATATTCTTGTTTCCTATTTGATTACATTTTTGGTACTGTGAATATTAGTCAGTGAAATATTGCTGTTCCTTCTGAAACTCCTGCTGGTCAATTTCATTAGTTGACTCTCAAAGCAAAAAAGATAGTATTCACGCTTTCTACACATTTCATATTTTTATAAATATCTGCAGATATCTGTATTTCACACCTTCCCATCTGTTTGAAGACCAAAGGTGGAGTGGATGATCACTTAATATTGGAACGGTCCCTGTAATTACTAATTAGCTAGTCTACATATAATTGTATAACAAAGGAGATAGTGTTTGGTTTAGATATATTTAAAAGCTGGATAGTTGTGTCATGGATAACGGACATGAATTTAAAATTAATTATTAACTTACATTTTCCTGATGTGAAAGTGCAGCTTGAAATAACCTACTGAAATTGTTAGTAACTGGTTTGGACATGTCACAAAATATGTTAGTTGATTATCACTCTGTGTTTGTGACGTTAATACCGCGGTGGGGAACCCCTGACCTGTAGACTTAATTAGCCCCAACAGGCTTCTCCAGTTGATCTCTGAGGCCATTTTGGTGAAGCCACACCCACTTGACCTGCATCAGACATAATGTATGATATCAGGTATGGGACAGGTAAAAATGTGGCTCCATTCTGAAAGGGGGGTTTGCTGGCACGTTTATCAGCAGCACCTGAAATCAAACCACATGTGCAAAGTGGGGGGGGGGGACCTCTCCTGAAATCTGCTGTTGGATGATTGACCTATCAAAATTGCCCATGGGTTTTGGGGGCCTGGGGTGGATCTGCACATAGGGAAAACCACTATTAATAACTCAGAAATTAAATCGTTGTAACAACAACAACAACAAAAATGCTATGGAAAATCACAAAGAATTTTTTTTACTCTCCAGCACCATCTGGTGTTGCATGTTTATCATGTATTCTAAACACTTTTTTGAGTAACGGAGCTAAGTTCCAATAAATTGTTCCATATACATCCTGTAAATGTGGCATTAGTTGCCAACTTTGAGAATGTCCCAGGATGTTTTATAAAACTATATTCGCCTGAATGCGGGTTACCATAGATTGACCTGTCTGTGCATTCGACTCCCGGAACTGTTCGAAAATCGAGACGCGGCTTCCGATTGGCTGCAGGAGCATCCTGCAGCCAATCGGAAACCGCGCCAGATGTTCAGCTTCCGAAAATCATTCGAAAACCGGAACACTCATTTCCAGTTTTCGATTGTTCAGGAGCCGAAACGTACGAGTTCCAAGGCATTCGGCAACCAAGGTACGAGTGTACAGGTAAGTGAATTCCTAACATTTTAGATGTGATGAATCAGTTTTTAAAGTGTATTAAATGCTTTTTTGGTTTCGTTACAGCCTTGGGCCCCTGGTGAGTAAAGTGAAAGAATACCAAGTGGAGACAATTGTAGATACCCTCTGTACTAACATGCTTTCTGATAAAGAGCAGCTACGTGATATTTCAAGCATTGGCCTTAAAACAGTCATTGGAGAACTTCCTCCTGCTTCCAGTGGTAATTTCTACTACTTCTCTATATTTAGTCATTTCTCTTCTAGTTTGATATTGATTAATGAAATTGGATTCAGTTAAATTCTAGCTAACACTAAGATTTACTTACCTTGGAGATAAAAGATTTTTCTGATGCCATCTTTGCCCTTAGATGTTCTTATTGTGTTCTGATTTTTAGCTGGGGTATTTGTGTTTGGAGAAGAGACAAGAGGAGTTCAAGAACTAAAGCTGGTGGACATAGTATGGTCTTTGGTTAAGGTTCTGTGTATGGTATTCTGTAACACCATTATGTTGTGCAGCATGGCCCAGGATTTATGCCTGAAAATGTGCAGACTGTGCTACAGTCGTAGTTAATTTCCCCCATTAAGGTTGTGTGGTGTAATTGATGCTTTCGCTATGTAACATTTGAAGTTTCACAAGGATGGCAGTCTACAGTAATTCAGTGGGCCTCTGGGTCAGCAACTTTGTACCTCATTCCACTCTGTCCAACTGAAGGTTCTTCTTGGCCGCTTTGATTCATCCTGATCCTCTTCTGCTGCTTACCGGCTCTTGTTAATGCTAGCTATTGATCATACCAAGAATTATACAAAAATATTTCTAAGTTTTAGGGTACAAACATTTTTTCTGGGGGTAATTCACCTCCTGTTGTGGCTAACGTTGAAACTAGTGTTTTAAATTTCACCACTTAAATTAAATATGAATCTTCACCTCAAGGAAAAGAGTCGTTCAGTCTGGTTTTAATCTCAGACTACTTGTGACAGTACTTTCAGAAAAATGAAAATAATGGAAATAAATAGAACATATTGAATCCAAACTGCAAAAATCCACAATTCACCCTGATTCTATTTTTAATGGCCTTCAGTTTGGGATCCTGATTTTGCTAGTTGGTCAGTCAATTTCCTATACTGTATTAGGAAAGGAGTGCTACTACTGAGTTTCTGTGTAATTAGTGTTGTCTGTGAAAGAAACACATACAATGAAGTTCAAATTACAAATTAAAAGCTCGAGAAAGTACCTTACTTTGACTTTTACAATAACTGTGTTCCCTTTATATAATCTTAAGGTGCAAATGCTATTGTTTATGTAGCACAAACACACTTTTGGTGGGGGGCAAGTTTTACAGAAGTATAAAAAATACTGAGAGAAAAATTAAGAGTGCCTTTTCAGTAATGGCACCTGCACTGTTGAACACCCTCCCATCAGATGTCAAAGAGATAAACAATTACACAACTTTCCGTAGACACCTGTATTGGAAAGTTTGTAATGTTTTGCCGTGTTCTGATATATTCTGTTGGAAGCCCCCTAGAGTGGCTGGACTGGGGCAACCCTGTCAGATGGGCGGGGTACAAGTAATTTATTATTATGGTTATGATTGTTACAGACCAGTGATAACTGTACATGTTAAGTGGGCACAGATTGCTCACAGAAAAATTAAACAAAACTGGGAGGGGATGGAAATGGAATGGAATATCCTCAACAGAAGCAACCAAGAGTTCAACACTTTATTGAAATTCTCACTTGTAAAACAGTAATAGAAGTCTTTATATATGCAGCTGTTCTGCTTTACTAGCTAGTTTCTTCTAATATACTGCTTCTAAATAATCCTCAGTGAAATTTGAGCCATGATCAGGAATGCAGGGAGGGCTTTACTCATGGATTGCTCTTACTGGATTATGGTGTATGCATGTGTGTGTTTTTTCCTGCATTACCAGAGTTCAGATTACTAGGCAGTAATCAGAATGAAGTGGACTCTACTCCATGAAAGTTTGTCATACTAAATTTGTTAGTCCCTACGATGCCGCAAGACTGTTAGTTGTTTTTGCTGCAACACAAACTAACACTGCTACCCACAATAATTGGTTCTAATAAATCTATCACTAGATAACCCACACTTGTTTTGAAAATGGCTCAAGTTCATACCAGGTTTGTTACATGTCTTGTGAAATAGCATATATATGCTGACAAAATGTTATTATGGTGTTTCCCTATTTCTAGGTTCTGCATTAGCAGCTAATGTTTGTAAAAAGATCACTGGGCGTCTTACCAGCGCTATCGCCAAGCAAGAGGATGTGTCTGTTCAGTTAGAGGCCTTAGACATCATGGCTGATATGTTAAGCAGGTAAACATGCATGTTAAAAATGCTTGTAAACAATAATTCCTTTAAAAAGTTGTGTAATGTTCATATGCAGGTCAAATGTCTGGAAACTTTTTATTGAAGAGAATGTTAATGAAGCTGAATGAGTGCAGAGTTGTTAAATGCATAATAAATGTAATGCTGAAGCTGAATTTGCATTAATTATTGCTTCCATATTCAATAATTGAGAGAGCTTTTTGATATTTTGGATAGAGAAAAGACAGCTAAGAGATACTTAGGGAAAGCTTTGAGGTGTAAATTTAGGGGGAAACCTGGAGTAAGATCATGTCAACATATTGCACTGTTACTCAGAAATCTATGCTTGCTGCCAATTTGTTCGAGACCAAATTGAAGGTGTTACTACTAGTATAGAAAGTCGTTACAGCTTGGGACCAGTATACTAGAAGGATTGCCTTACCTTACAGATGTCTACAGAATTGGCACTTTTACAAGTGCCACATAATGTTCATGCTGCACTTGTAGGAAGTATGCTTTTTAGTTTGGCAGAACCTATGCTCCCTTCACCATTGACTTTAGGCAGGTCCCTTTCCTGTACTGTTTATGGTGCTTGCTAAAAACATTTTTGCTAAGGCAAGCCTATCTAGCTGTTGAGATATATTTCAATATGTAATTTGATTTTATAATGCATATTTTCTTAACTGCTGATGTGATATATATGTTAGTTTGTAACTCTTGACCTTTATTGATAATTTCAGTCTATACTTTATTTTATGTAAACCACTTAGAGGTTTTTATGATTAAGTTGCTTACAAATTCCATTAATTAATTAAAAAATGGAAAAGCCCGGACAATAAAATTTGTTTTATTCTAACTTAATTTTTGTCTGTTTTAAGGCAAGGAGGATTGCTCGTTAACTTCCATCCTTCTATTCTGACATGCCTGCTTCCTCAGCTGACTAGTCCAAGGCTTGCTGTGAGAAAAAGAACCATCATTGCTCTTGGTCATCTTGTTATGAGTTGTGGAAACATAGTGTTTGTTGACCTCATTGAGCATCTGTTGACAGAGCTTTCTAAAAATGATTCCATGTCAACAACAAGGACCTATATACAGTGTATTGCTGCCATCAGTAGGCAAGCAGGTCATAGAATAGGTAAATAAATTTGCATATTATTGAAATCTTCCTATTTTTCACATGAAATGTTAAATGTTCCCCATGAATGACTGTTTGTTTTCTGTTGTCAGGTGAATACCTGGAAAAAATTATCCCTTTGGTAGTAAAATTCTGTAATGTAGATGATGATGAGCTTCGAGAATATTGCATTCAAGCATTTGAATCTTTTGTTAGGAGGTAAGGTGGTAATAGGTGCACTTGTTTTTTCCTGGTTAACTTAACAGTATGAAATAAGTTGAAAGCAAGCTTTAGAGGCACTGAGAAGAGGCTCTGGTTAAACATGGTGGGAACCCTTAAATTGTTAAATTGCATAATATTTTGAGTGTCATTGGTAGAAATTAATTTTTTACTGCTTGCATTACTATCTTTGACTTTAATGCAACTAACATCTCCCTAGCATAAATAATGCAGCTATTGAGAAGTGGATTCTTAAAAGTTTCCGTTCAAATCACCACTTCACAGGATACATAGATATAGCTAAACCTAGGCCTTATGATGTGCCAATGCTACAAAGTAGCGTTTCCCCAAAGCATCAGTTGCAGTGAACATGTGCAGAGTCTGATTCTGTCTAATATGTGATGAAAACATCTGCACAGGAATACTTTGCTAAATATGATCTTCCATGTAATTTAGAATAGTATGTGGGGATTACCTCGGAATCAGAATCCTGCATTGCCCTGCCACTCTTCCTCTTCTGCCCCTTCCCCCAGTTGCTTCTGTTGCTTTGTAGCGGAGTGGGAATGGGCATCTAAACATCCAGATTCCAGCCCTTTTGGGGTTAGATGTTCCTGGCATGCGCACCTCTAAATGAGAGGAAGTTGCCCTAGAAAGGGCTTTGAGAAGAGATGGCACATTGTGCACTGGCTTTGCTTGGGACTTGGCTTGGGAAGTAGCGCTGACTGTGCCAAAATCAGCACATAAGAAATTCATGTGATTCATTGATAAGCACAGAATAATTCATTTGGGTCACTTTCCCCAGATTACTCTGGTTCTCTTGGGATTGCCACCCAGAAGCCCTGCCCTCCCATTTTATCCTGAAAATATTTATTCTTCACTAGCTTGGCCAGAGAGAACCACTTATTATATATTACTTTACCATTGTTCTATACAGTTTTGCTGATAGACCCAGTTCAATCATATAGCAATACTGAGTGATGCTTTATTTTCAGTAGATTCCTAATTAATGTTATGCTTATTATGCAGATGTCCTAAAGAAGTTTATCCTCATGTAACTACCATTATAAACATTTGTCTTAAGTACCTTACATATGATCCCAACTACAATTATGATGATGAAGATGAAGATGAGAATGCTATGGATGCTGATGGTGGAGATGATGATGATCAAGGTGAACTTGTGTGAAGATTGAAATATTCAAGTATCTTAAGATACAGTTATTAGTGCAGCATTCTAAATGAAATGTTTTCATAGTGTAATGGCAGAGCTTTGTTAGATAAGGACACTCCAGCCCAGTCTTTGTGAAAGTAATTTGCCTCTTACTATTGGAGGCCAGCAGGGAGTAACCAAATTTTGTAAATTGTAAATTGCAAACTGGCACTTATAACTAATGGGGGAATGATGTGAAATGTTCAGTGAAGTGAATGTTCCAAGAAAAATCCATTCCTTTTAATGAGGTTTACCTGAGAGCAGTGATTGTCAGATTGATAGTCATTGATTTGCCTAGTGTTGCTTGTATGCTTTGTTTGTATTTGTATTAATACCCAAATAATAAAATACAAAGTGATCTCTAGGCTATGGGCTTTAGTTATGATTTTATATATAACACAGAAACCTTTTATTTCCTCCCCACCCCAAAAGGGAGCGATGATGAATACAGTGATGATGATGACATGAGCTGGAAAGTTAGACGTGCAGCTGCGAAATGCTTGGACGCTGTAGTCAGTACGCGACATGAAATGTTACCAGAGTTCTACAAGACGGTGTCTCCTGCTTTAATTGCTAGATTCAAGGAACGAGAGGAAAACGTAAAAGCAGATGTTTTCCATGCATATCTCTCTCTTTTAAAACAAACGCGTCCTGTGCAGAGTTGGCTCTGTGATCCTGATGCCATGGAACAAGGAGAGACTCCTTTAACAATGCTTCAGAGTCAGGTTGGTGGATAAAACATTGGTATTTTGTAAAGTAAAAGGCCATATTGTTTGCTCTGGATAAACGTCAGAAAGGGGGAAACATTAATTTGCACCTTTCCCTCAAAGCAATGTGTTTTAGAAAGTTTAGGAGTTTTATAATCTGTCTTTACAATCTAGAGCTTTTGGAATTGTGCTGCTGTCGACTACTTTTGATGCCGAGTGGTGACTGCCTGCTTTCATAATGCGACATAGAATTTCTGTCTCCCCCCACAAGCCCCTTCTGTGCCCAAAAAATCTGTTGGGGGGGGGGAGGAAGGAGAAACCCCATTATGTGAGCAGATACTTGTTTGTGCTACTTTTAAGCATCTTTGCTATTTTTGAAATCTGCTGGGCTTTCTGCAAAGTGCCAAAAGCTTACTTCTGTCTGAATGTCCGTGGTCCTCATATTTACTTAAGAATCACACAAAACCTGTCGGGTTGTATATATAAAAAGTGCTAACTGCTGAACATTGTAACAAGTATATAATAATTACAGGTTCCCAACATTGTTAAAGCCTTGCACAAACAGATGAAGGAGAAGAGTGTGAAGACTCGTCAGTGTTGTTTTAACATGCTAACAGAGTTGGTCAATGTCTTGCCTGGGGCTCTCACACAGCATATTCCTGTACTTGTCCCAGGTATGAAAAATATATCTTAACATGTTGTAAAGTTTTAACCTTGACATCTGGTAGTGCTTTGAAGCATGCTTATATATTTTGCATAGAAGTGGCATATTATTAGAATTTTGGTTCTCATGTAGTGTACTATGTGTGTGTATTTTATCAAGCTTTCTACAACTATATCTGTACATTTGCTTGTTCTCTATTGAATTTATTCCTGTACATTGCAACTGGAGTTCCTTGAGAAAGATATTCAGATAGAAGAGATGCTAATAATTGATATTTCTGTTATGGTTGGTAATACAGTCGTACCTTGGAAGTCGAACGGAATCCGTTCCGGAAGTCCGTTCAGTTTTCAAAACGTTCAAAAACTAAAGCTCCTGCAGCCAATTGGAAGCCCCAACGGACGTTTGGCTTCCAAACAGTCATTTCTGGGTTTGCAGCATTTGGGAGCCAAAATGTTCGAGAACTAAGCTGTTCGAAAACCAAGGTATGACTTGCTTGCAGTTTTTTATCTGTGGCTTCAGATAAAACATAAAATGCATACAGAATAATGATTCGAAATGGTATGAGAGATGGAAATAATGTGAAAAATATAACCAGGATCAGGGAAGGAGTAATGCAAGTCAGATTGTTTTTAGCAAGATTGTAGACCTTTATTGTGATTGGAGACAATATGCAAGTGTCATTAAACTAGAAAAACCAGTATGCATCCAAAGCGTAAAATACCTAGTGGCAAGCCTCCAAACATGAATAGGATTAGGTCCAGGAATCATTTTGTCCTCCCTGCTTCATTCTCTGGCAAACCATATTCTTTTAGTAGCACAAAATTTTTAGATTGGGTGGCTGCTACTAAGCTATTGTAAAATCGCTTGACGGCTAGGTGCATGAAAGAGCAGAAACAGGCCCAAGGAAGCTCTGATTTTGAAGGATTGCTGGTGTGGTTACAGTTAGAAGCGAAACCTAGATTGAATCTGTTGGGTTAATGGGATTTGTATAAAGGCATTGTTTGGAAAGATGAGTTCTGAGTAAAAAACTGAGCCAAGAGGAGGTTCAAAATTAGACAAAAATTTTGCTCTTAATGAAAAATATTGGATAAACCATCAAATCACCTTTTCCTATCTGCGCTACTTAAGTATAAGTTCAGAAACTTACTGGTTTGTAACCTGCTTTAAATCAGCAAGTGTGCTTCAGATATACAATTGTGTGAATTAACTCTTTATTCTTCTTACAGGGATAATTTTTTCACTGAACGACAAATCAAGTTCTTCTAATCTGAAGATAGATGCTTTATCGTGTTTGTATGTGATCCTCTGCAATCACACGCCCCAAGTTTTTCACCCTCATGTTCAAGCATTGGTGCCTCCTGTTGTGGCATGCGTTGGAGACCCATTTTATAAAATAACATCTGAGGCGCTGTTGGTTACCCAGCAGCTTGTGAAAGTCATCCGGCCTCTGGATCAGCCTTCTTCTTTTGATGCAAGCCCTTACATCAAAGATTTGTTTACGTGTACAATCAAGAGACTCAAAGCTGCTGATATTGACCAGGAAGTAAAAGAGAGGGCAATCTCCTGTATGGGTCAAATCATTTGCAGTCTCGGCGACAATCTTGGCTCTGACCTTCCTAGTACACTTCAGATCTTCTTAGAGAGACTAAAAAACGAGATCACTCGGCTAACCACTGTGAAGGCTTTGACTCTGATAGCTGGTTCTCCGCTGAAGATAGATCTGAGGCCAGTTCTAGGAGAAGGTGTTCCTATTCTTGCTTCTTTCCTCCGAAAGAACCAGAGAGCTCTGAAACTAGGAACTCTTTCTGCTTTAGATATATTAATCAAAAACTACAGTGACAGCTTGACAGCTGCTATGATTGATGCTGTCCTGGATGAGCTTCCACCTCTCATCAGTGAGAGTGATATGCATGTGTCACAAATGGCCATTAGTTTTCTGACCACCCTTGCTAAAGTTTATCCTTCTTCTCTCTCGAAAATCAGTGGCTCCATACTGAATGAACTTATTGGGCTGGTGAGGTCACCATTATTGCAGGGTGGAGCACTCAGTGCCATGCTAGAATTTTTCCAAGCTCTGGTTGTGACTGGAACAAGTAACTTAGGATATATGGACTTATTGCGTATGTTAACGGGCCCAGTGTACTCTCAGAGTACAGCACTTACTCACAAGCAGTCTTATTATTCCATTGCCAAATGTGTAGCTGCCCTTACACGAGCATGCCCTAAAGAGGGACCAGCAGTAGTAGGTCAGTTTATTCAAGATGTTAAGAACTCAAGGTCAACAGATTCCATCCGTCTCCTTGCTTTGCTTTCTCTTGGGGAAGTTGGACACCACATTGACTTAAGTGGACAAATAGAGCTAAAATCTGTAATATTAGAAGCATTCTCCTCTCCAAGTGAAGAAGTGAAATCAGCAGCTTCTTACGCATTGGGCAGCATCAGTGTCGGCAACCTTCCTGAGTACCTCCCATTTGTCTTACAAGAAATTACTAGTCAACCTAAAAGGCAATACCTTCTGCTCCATTCCTTGAAGGAGATAATTAGCTCCGCAACAGTGCAAGGCCTCAAACCATATGTGGAGAGCATCTGGTCTTTGCTCCTGAAACACTGTGAGTGTGCAGAAGAGGGTACCAGAAATGTTGTTGCTGAATGCTTGGGGAAGCTTACTTTAATAGACCCAGAGACTCTGCTACCGCGCCTTAAAGGATATTTGCTTTCAGGTTTGTAAACTTTTAATATCTTCATGTACTGTTTTGGGATACCACCCACAACTAATTCCTCCAGAATGGTCCTATTCAGTTGTAATAGTTTCAGACTGGAGTAAATTGATTGTGGATTTGGTAGAAGAGAAGGATTTCTTTGGTGCATGTCTTAAACAGAAATTGTAACTCTTAAAAACTGAAAACTAAGTTATGCATTGCGGGTAATAATTAGAAAATGTCACCCACTTAAGAGGGAAGTATTATAAGGATTTTTTCAGACCAATTTAAAAGCACTGTACAAAGAATATTACACAGAGATGATCTATTTAATATTGTCCTGCCAAAAGGATTGCAACAAGGATAGTTTGAGATCAGTCAAAGTGATATTTATACTGACCGATAGAAATTAGATTACCTATGTCCATATATTTTTGTGGAAACCCCTTATGTCCAGGTGTTGATTCTATTCCACCATTTTTGTCTGTCCTGATCATCTTTGATTCATCTGGGTGACATTTTAGCTATGTGATTGCTTATGGAGATAAAAAGAAAAACAAGGGCAGGAAGTCTTCAGCCTACCATTAGCGAAAAAGGTTTGCTAATTCCATGTGCTAAAGTTCTTATTGTAATAGAACAATTGGCCATTGCTGCCTAGACAATCCTAGTGGAACACATTTCTAGTAGATCTGCGACCCATTTTCTAAATTGAATTATTCAAACAGAAACAAACAACATCAGACAATATAAGCTAAATAATAAAAACCAAGACAATACGTTCTGTTCATACAAGTGTGGCAGGGGAATGGTTAGTGATCCAGGCAAGTGCTCAAGACATTCAAGCAAATAGATGTGTATAATGAATCCAGATATCAGATAATTTCCCATCTTTTTTGTGCTTTTGGAAGGTCACCAGCTGAGTTCTGTCCCCGTATGATATGGGGAGTAGACCTCTTCCAATATTGAAGTGTTAGATGTTTAGCCACTACAAATGCCCTTAGAAAGAAGTTAAATTGTCCCTTCTGTCAGGTTCCAAAGGACCTGTACATAATTCAGCAAAACATTAAAATCTGAGAACCTAAGGTCCAAAACCATATTTATGTGGCTGCTGTGGCCCAAGTTTGTTCGGAATAGGGTTGCAGATTTAAATAAAATTCATTTTAAAAGGGGATTGGACAAATTCATGGAGGAGTGGCTATTAGTCATGATGCCTATGTATCAGAGGCAGTATATCACTGTACCACTTCTTGGGGATGAGAAGCAGACAAGTGAAGTCCTAATCGCTTCTCATAGACATCTCAATGACCACTGTGAGAACAGGATGTTGGGCCTTAGGTCTGATCTAGCAAAGGTTCTTTTTATGTTCTTATCTGTATCATACTGCAGAACCATATAGCTGATAATAGTAAGCAGAGTACAAAACCAGAGTTTAAATCTTAACTTAGCTATCAAGCTTACTGGATGACGTTGGGTCAGTCACCATTTCTCAACTTCTTTCACAAGGGGATAATTATGTACACTGAGCTGAGCAATTTGAAGAAAGAGCAAAGTTAAAAACATCAGAGTTGGTGGCTATCACTACAGATCCGTAGCTTAGCTATGTTTGGTGTGGTGAAGTGCTTCCATTGTCTAAATATGACAAGCCAAAAGTCTATGCTTGCTCCTAACTTATTTTCTTATTTGAAACATGATTAATCAGCTTCTCTAGAAACTGTTTAATAGGCCTTTGCTTTGGGGTGTGCATGCCAAAGGCACAAAATTCATTATTTGCTTATAGAAAAAAATCAAAGTTAGTATTATTTGCTGGATATACTTCACCGTTCAATGTGTACCCAGAACAACTTGCTAGATATGAATTACATAAAAACAAAATAGAGAGATGTAAAAACAGTAACTAGAAAAAAGGAAACAATGTATTGAGGATAAAATATCCTGAGAAAAAATGGACTGAAGTTGGCAATGCTGCTATTATTGAGATATTTGTTTTAAATGTTTAATCACAACATACTATCTTAAAATCATAACTTTTTACACTCAACTTGGAATGTTTTTAACATCTTGAACCCCATGACATTCCTGCAGTGTATCTGTAAAATTGTTGTGTTAAACTGACAGCTTCAAATCGGAAAGGGGGTTCTTCTTAGCAGAACTGCTACTATAATACCCACTAGACTAGGCTTAACATGCATAGAACCTAATTTTGTGTTCCATCATGTATACCTGCTTGACTAATTTAAGTCCATTGATTTCAGTGGATTCTTATACAGCATTTGTCTTACCCACTGAAACTAATGGACCCAACTAACTGAAGTCCTTTGATTTCAAGTAGGCCAACTCAATGTTTGACTTAGTTGGAGACAGCCCTCTGAGATCTGACCTGTTTATATTGTTTTTCTTAATTACCCGGAGTGATTGCCCCCTGTGACGTGGTAAACTGCTTTTGAATTTAACATTAGGAACCTTTCAAATTCTGCTTGTAATTTGGCATGGGGGGGCAGCTGTTGAAAAAAAATATTAATTGGATTTGTGTGATTCATTTGCGTAGTAAGTAGTTTTTTGAATCCCCACTAAGGAAAATGCTACAGGATGAATTATGTATTAATAAAATACCAGTGTTTTAAAAAGTTGTCATGGTTATTAATAATCATGATGTTTTTGTAATTGCATACTACAGCATGGGACAATGAGGACATTGTTCAAGCATTCTGGTTAATTTTTTTGTTATTAGGATCATCATATGCTCGAAGTTCAGTGGTCACTGCTGTGAAGTTCACAATCTCTGACCATCCACAGCCCATAGACCCATTATTAAAGAATTGTATAGGTAAGTGAAATTGCAATCATTTCAAGCAGTGCAATTTACCTTGAGATGACATACTTTCTTCCATGTGTGCGTGTGAGTGTGTTTTAAAAGGTCAGTATTTTCTAGGTACTGGTGTCAAATGTAGCTTTTTCAGGTCTGGGGAAAAAGAGGGTGACTCAAGTACTTGAGATTTCCCTAGCAAAGGATAATGCTTCCCTTTTAGATAGAAGCAGGGATTCTCCCAGCTTAAAGCAAACTCTTTGTTTAAACATGCTCATTAATTTCTGTATTGTCTATAAATTTATTCAAAGCTATATCCAATATTAGTGTAGCACAACAAATGTTCGCTCAAAGATGCTGTAATAAAAATTGAGAATGGGTTGTGTAGGTGCAGTATAATTGCAGTCCATGAATGAGGCTTTTCGTGGAGTCATTGAATTGTACGTAGTCTAAAAAACAACAACAACCCAGCCTTTTGTGGCTGGGAAAGTAGATACGGTAGCTGGAAAAATCTTAATCCTTTTAAAGTCATTGGTTTATCTTATTCGTGTTTTCCATTTCCTGTATGGTTTCTTTGAAACATGCTTTCCCCTTAAATTGGATAATTAATTTCTTAAAGTCCTGGAACAGGGCTGTCTGAGACCATGAACTGTGAAAACTGAAAGTGGCAGTTTTCAGATTTGCTTAATTATGCCACTCATAGAGGAACTGGGGGTGGGGTGGGGGAAGATTGTACAGTGGCACCTCGTGTTATGTTACAAATGCTGCGGGTTACACGCTCTGCTAACCCGGAAGTAGATGCCCCTTGTTGTGACCTGTGAGCGGAAGCCGTGGTGCGGCAGTAGCGGGAGGCGCCATTAGAGAAAGTGTGCCTCATGTTACGAGTGGTTTCCTGTTATGAATGGACTTCCGGAACGGATTGAGTACGTAACACGAGGTACCACTGTACACATGAAGTTCTGAAAAACTTCTCACAAACTTGATGAATTATCAAAGTAAATTGGTTGTTCAAAAGGTAAATATGCATTGGAATGATAATTGCTGCCGTATTTCACAAAAATGTACGCAAACCAGTTAGTACAAAGTACAGTTATGCTTTTGCAACATGCCGTAAGAGGAAATGTATAAGGAAAGTGAGACTCGCTTTTTATTTATAGTGAGTGTATTGTTGTTTGTCACCTGTAGCCCATTTTTTTCATGAGATGACATACTAATCCAACCTCTCCTAATTCATGGCCCCGCCTTTTACAAACATCAATTAGGCAGGGGGAAGCTAGTGGGAAGTTCAAAAGTGGCAAATATTGAACAGGAGCATATGCTGATAACTTTCTTTAAACGATTGCAGGTGACTTTTTGAAAACATTGGAAGATCCAGATCTGAATGTGAGACGAGTAGCTCTGGTAACATTTAATTCAGCAGCACACAATAAACCATCACTAATAAGGGACCTTTTAGATACTGTGCTTCCACATCTTTATAATGAAACAAAAGTGAGAAAGGAACTAATAAGAGAGGTATGTAATCCACTCAAGTTACAGGGTGAGTAAGCAGTGGTGTTCAGAATAGCTAATGTTTTCTGTTTGAGTATTTTTGTGTTCAGATCCTCGTGCAAGTTCAGGCAACAGTTTTGTACTGATTAGGTGGCTAACTAAAGGAGAGTCCTTCTGGAAAGTTTTGCGTATGAGTGCTTTTACCTAGAATTATTGAAGAAACTCATCATATTTTATATGATGATAGGAGTTAAGAGAGACCATAAGTTTAGCTTGAGTGAGGAACATGCACGAAATATAATTTGAAAACTGCCATATTGTAACGAATTTCAATATACATCTTTCATAGTACCAGAAATGAAAATACAGGGCAGGTATTGAGCTACTGGAATAAAGAGCAATGCAAAATGTTTTGTGTTCACTTCGTGCATTGTTACAAAGGGAGCCAAGCCAAATGAGTCGTCCCAGAATCTCTTCACAAGTCGTATAGGTTTTCCCATACAATCAGCTCCAATTTAATTTTAATGTGATTCATCTTACTGCAGAATTGTGGGCATACAGAGTGTAACTTGCAAATGCAAAACCTACTCTTAATTGTGATGGGAAATTCAATGTAAGAACATAATTTTGAAAACTGAAGTTTGCTTGCCGCTTAAAAACCAGATAAATAGTGGCAGGTGGTGGGTTGCATGGCTTGGGACATGGAAACTTGCTGTTGTTGGAATGCACACTACTTTCATCAACTTGACTTGAAGAACAATAAATATGACCTTTTGCTTTAAGAACTTTTCCTTGAGGCCATAATGCTCCTTAGTAAATTCTTACTCAGCGTATTTCATTAGCAACTGATAACTAAATGTATTCAGTGCGTTTAACAATTTCTGATCTGATTTGCAGGTTGAAATGGGTCCATTTAAGCATACAGTTGATGATGGTCTTGATATCAGAAAGGCAGCTTTTGAGTGTATGTACACTCTGCTAGATAGCTGCCTTGATAGACTAGACATCTTTGAATTCCTAAACCATGTGGAAGATGGTTTGAAGGATCACTATGATATTAAGGTTAGTGCTTGTTATTTGTTTATATGTGTATTTGTACACACATATACATATGCATATACATATACGGATGCAGATATTTCTAAGCTAGTTGCTGAACAATTGCAATAAAACAGTAAAAAAACAAAGCATGGAAAGGTGGTATTGGCTTTGTACAAAAATTAATGAAAGCTTTTCCTACCTTTTATTCTGTCCTCAAGGTAGGGCACCTAATTCCTTGTCAGTGTGATAGACAGTTGTGGTTATCCCACTTGCTCAACAAGTCTCTATTTGCGCAAACATGATTTCCCCTTCCTATTCATCTCTGTCCCGCCTCCCTGCACCACCACAGTCTGCTCTGGAGGAGCACCTAGGGTGGACAGCAAAGGAAAGGAAGACTAAGTCTGCTGCTGCTTTTCTTTTCCCTGATTTTGTGCTATTATATGGAAACTGTTTTTCTTAAAGATGATTCCTTCTACAGGAAATAGCCATTGGTAGTCCAGAGGCTTCCAACAATATGAATTACAGTATATTATCAGCTTTGATAAGCAATTGTTTCCAGTTCAGCATGAATTTGACTAATAAAGACAACATTCAAATGATTGGTTTGGTGGTAGAGAAACATCAAAAAGTATAGTCAAGAGAATATGGATCCTGGATACTGCTTTTTCTCCCTATACTTGTAGAGTCACAGTTAGATTTTCTGATACTTAAAATCTGTTCTTAGCAGTGGCCAAATCTTTGTTATTTATTCAATTTTTATTTCTTCTTAACCAGATGCTAACATTTTTAATGCTGGTGAGACTGTCTACCCTGTGTCCAAGTGCAGTTTTGCAGAGGCTGGATAGACTGGTTGAACCCTTACGTGCTACATGTACAACCAAGGTATTGTGTGAATTGAATTAGTTTGAATTAGCCTACAGGATAATTGTAAAGCATAGTCTCATATATATATTATTTTGGTCACAGACTCCGTCTTGGAAAGATAATCTTTTGAAGCCACTATTCTTTCTCAGCATGCTGTTTCTCTATTTCACCCAGTTTTTTCTCTGATCATATTTTGTAAGCAGCTTTCATATGTGGCTTGTGGTCCTGTCTGTTCAGAGGTTTCTTCACCCATGTGTTACCTACCTTAAGAAACTTTCAGTTATTATTTCAGTTTATACCTAGGAATAGTCTTGATTGAAGCAAAAGCAAGAACTGTGCTTTAGATAGAAGAAAGAGAAGCCTGATTTCTAGCAGCTTGCTTTTGTGGCTATATGCTGGCACTTTTGTTTTAATATTGAGGCTTGTCTAGACAATGTTGTCAGGAGTAATAGTTCAGTAGTTAGTGAATCTCTTAAGCTGGCCACTATTATGTAAGGCTACTAGACATTTCATGCATTCTTGTTTAGTATTCTCTGTTCTGCTGTTACTCAGCAAGCGGACATACTATCTGATGTGGGTATGCGTACATTTGAATAGCTTTCTAGATAGATTTTACTGTTGAATTTATATAATATGTATCTTTTTTAACTAAACAGGTAAAAGCAAATTCTGTGAAGCAGGAATTTGAAAAGCAAGATGAACTGAAGCGATCTGCCATGAGAGCAGTAGCGGCGTTATTAACCATTCCAGAAGCAGAAAAGAGTCCACTGATGAGTGAATTTCAGTCACAGATAAGCTCTAATCCTGAGCTTGCAGCCATTTTTGAAAGCATCCAGAAAGATTCGTCGTCCACTAATTTGGAATCAATGGACACTAGTTAGATACTCAGAATGGGAACCATTAATTTGAACCATACGATGCACTGAATTGACAAGTTAAAAACAAACAAACAGAAAAGTATCTAATCTTCACAATGTTCCATTTTACCTTTATGGAGACAGTTTGGCTTTTCCCCATTGTTGCTTTTTTTAGCATTTATTCCAGAAATATGTATTTCCATAACTCAAAAGTTGTAAACCACTCAAGTTTTAGTGGATTTGGACACACATTAAATAGAAATAAAAGGTTAAAACGCATGGTGTATGGAAATAGATTCCAACATCTGTTTGCCCTGTAATGTTTAGGATTAAAAGTTTAAAAATTTGTGACCATGATTTTTCTTTTCCTTTTTTCTTGATATAAAAATCTACTGTGTTTTTGTATAACTTTTGTCTTTCTGTTTCAGCTACATGAATTGATTTGGCTGGCAGTTTAAAAATTGTGTAAGACTTATTATCGTGCAGAGGTCTTGGGCACAGTTTAAAAAATGCCAACATGTCCTTTTTAAAGGTGTGGGAGTAAACAGTTCCCTGTTGTGCACACTAATTTTGCATGAACAAGTTTACAAATATATGTTATGTGTAAAACAGTATGTGCCGTTTATTAACAATTAAGTTCGAGTGAGTACTGTTCAAATGAGTACTGTTGTATCACTGCAGTTTTAAGGTGTCAGTCCTTTCCATAGCAAACTCAGGTGATTAAGTTTGGAAGAGAAATGGGGACATCCAAAAATAAGATGGTGTTTTCTATACCTACCCTAGGTATGTCAAGGTATTTAAACCTGCAAACGAAAATATTTTTTTAAAGCCACAGACAGAAACCCACAGAAGTTAAATTGCTTGAGAAGAACTTTTGAGCTTCTAGTATCAATGCTGGTGATACTTGAGCCTATAGCTGTGGGGAATGGTCTAAAGCAGTGTTTCCCAAGCTTGAGTCTCCAGCTGTTTTTGAACTACAGTTCCCATCATCCCTGACCACTAGTCCTAGCTAGGGATGATGGGAGTTATAGTCCAAAAACAGCTGGAGACCCAAGTTTGGGAAACACAGTTTTAAAGAAAGAGGAGACTTTGTCTGTCAGTGAAGTTCATGGTTGACAGCACATGACAAATTAAATTATGTGATGGTAAAAAGGGGGGGTCATTAAAATACCTTTCCAAAAATATTTTTTAATAATGGTGGGCACCGAAGAACTACTTGATAAAATGAAATTCTTCAGCAATACTTCTATTTCACATACTGCTCTCAAAGGTGAAGGATCTGGGCCAGCCTTAGGCAATCCTAGAAAGGGCAGAAATAATAGCTTGGCTCATAAGAGATGCTATTGAATGAAGTTCATGGGATGAGAGTTTCTTGTTCCCTTCTTGCCCCTGCCATCACTTGAACCCCTCCCTCAATATTGGTTCAATTTTATGTGGTTTTCTCCTTAGCAATCTTCAACCCATCCAATATTTTCAAGAGATGCTTTTGTGGAGTGGAGGAGACCATAAATTCCTTTTGTGAACTTACTTTACCCTAGGTTCCATGCCCATAACAACTGGAAAAACAGTGGATTTATTTGGAAAAAATCTACTTCATTATTCTGCTGCCAATGTTCATATTTACTGCTAGAAAGATAGAGGCAGGAAACTTAGAAATTAATAGAAAGAAAAAGGGTATTTCCCTCCCATCTTAAGCCTTGCACTGTTTTGGCAAATAGTAGTAAGCTGTTACATAGGAGTAGATGGACAATGGAAGACCTATGTTCAAGTAAATTCATTGTGAGCCTTCTGACATGTAAGTTCTTGTTGCCTATGTTCTCTGAGCCCTCTTAATGGTTCTCAGTATAGTAAAAAGAAAAACAAGTTGCATCATAAGAAACTGTAGGGTCCTAAGAACTAAGTAGCAAATGCGTCCTTTACTGAAACTAACAGACAAAAAATGCCTAACAGGTGCTGAAAATCAAGTAGAGTCCAGAATTGCCAGTGGTGGGTCAGATAAACAGGTTTTCCTACAAACTGACACAAGCCTTCTGTTAGGTAGCACAATTCTGAGCTCAATTCAAACTGTTGGTTCTGACCTTTAAAGCTCTAAACGGCCTCGGCCCAGTATAGCTCAAGGAGCGTCTCCACCCCCATCGTTCAGCCCGGACACTGAGGTCCAGCGCTGAGGGCCTTCTGGCGGTTCCCTTGCTGCGAGAAGTGAGGTTACAGGGAACCAGGCAGGGAAACTTCTCAGTAGTGGTGCTCGCCCTGTGGAACGCCCTCCAACCAGATGTCCAGGAAATAAACAATTTTCTGATTTTTTTCCTGATTTTTAGAAGACATCTGAAGACAGCCCTGTTTAGGGAAATTGTTAAGGATTGATGTTTTTATTAGGTTTTTAGATATGTTGTAAGCCGCCCAGAGTGGCTCAGGAAACCCAGCCAGATGGGTGGGGTATAAATATTATTTTTATTATTTATTATTTGTGATAATCTGCTGACAATTGTGATGTCTAGATCACCTCCATTTAGATGAGCAGAATGCTAAATCCAAGCACCTGTGTTGGGACATAGATGGAGGCTTTTGTCTGTCCCAGTGACCACATATCTCCCTAGAGAATCTTGACACCAGTTATGAGATTGTTTCCACCAGCTCTGCCATAGAAAAGTTGGGCAATACAGTAGTCAGTATGCATACAGAACCTCCAGTCTGCTCCTGGTCCCCAGCACCCAAGTATACATTTGCAAAACTGATTGTGTTCTGGATTAAATAGCTATTTCATTCTGTATTTGTTAATTTTATTAAATCTAATGTCATTCAAAACATGCTTTACCTCAAAAACAAATTGGCCGTCTGAATTATCAAAGCCTAACAATAAACCACTGAAACTTTCAGGAAATAACTACTAAAGAAAGAGAACATGTGGCTGTCCCACCATCTCTGCCTATTGGCCACGTTCCTGGGAGATGGCCAGAGGTTTCCACCTCTGCACTAGGTTATATGCCAGGGGTCAGCAAACTTTTTCAGCAGGGGGCCGGTCCACTGTCCCTCAGACCTTGTGGGGGGCCGGACTATATTTTGAAAAAAAGGAAGAACAAATTCCTATGCCCCACAAATAACCCAGAGATGCATTTTAAATAAAAGGACACATTCTGCTCATGTAAAGAAATGCTGATTCCCGGACCATCTGCGGGCCAGATTTAGGAGGTGATTGGGTTGGATCCAGCCCCCGGGCCTTAGTTTGCCTACCCATGTTATATGCCCTGCCCTGTCCCCCAGAGGTGCTATCCCTTCCCTAACACGCCATACACCCCAATCTGAAATTACTTAGCTGAAAATTACATTTCTGTGTATATCACAGAACATAAGCATTTGAAGAGAAGTGGAACCTCCCTAATAATCACCATAGACAATATTGAGCCAAACAGACCAATAATCTGACTCCGTATTATCTTCCATCATCAAATGTAGCATTGGGCTGCTTTGGGGTTTTCCCTGTTTTAGGGATTTTCGTTTTGTTTCTTTTTGGTATTTTGGTAAACCTCCAAGGCTCCCTTTCAGGTTGTGTGTGGATGATGCCACCTTGAAAAGAATCCATGCTTGGAGAATGAATTCACAGAGTGTGTATTTCACAAAGATTTAAAAAACAAACACAAAAGAGTATATTTAATTTATATGCTATGTAAATAACATAAAGGTGAATAAATCTCTGAAGTTGTTCTCCAATGCAATACTTTTGTCTACCAATATCAGAAAACACTTTAATATAACCCCTTTAACTGTCATTTCATGGGATGTACAGAGAAAACATTATACCTTTAAAATCAGTATAATTTCTGAGTGCTAAAGTAGTTTTAACTTTAGATTTTATTTTCAAACATTTATTTCCCAAACTATATGGGACAACTTTTGTAAAAATAACATTTAAGGCATACACAATCATATATTTCATATTTGGAAAAACAATCTTGTTGAGATTGTTAACTGAAGATCACAAATACAAAATCTAAGTCTGGAGCAGGCAGTGGAAAGAAATTGGCCACCTGGGAGCAGGTTCATGTTCCCAGAGTGCCGCCACCGCCGCATGGATGACATCTGATGTCACCTTTCCAAACAGGAGCATAAACACCATCTCTCAAAGGAAGATTACGTAGCAGGTAATTGAAGTTCACATGAGTTCTATCATTGTTCTACTGCACTCCTCTTGTCAGAGAGGAAAATAGCCTTTAAGCTTTTTTGTGGCATTTGGTTTTCAGCCTACCAACAGAAAATTTCTACCGCACACAACAGAATAAAAACGCACATCATTTTGTGGCATTTTGAAATTGGCATCACAGAGGTGCCCCTAAAGTCAAGGCGATTAGGAAAAAGGCATTCATAAGTCAACACATAGTAGCAACACAGTAAGAACCAGTTGTTTCATAAGGAAATTCTTGATCCGGGCAGTGCATGGCATCTTTGCTGGTCCCAGGAATTTCATCCTCCCCATCTTGAAAGACCAGAAGTGGATGCATTGAGTCTCAAGTAGGAAGCACAACTTGTGGCATTCAGCAACACTATCCCTGAACCTGAGGCACAACTGTCAAGGATTCAACCTTAGCTTCTTGGATCTGTAGAACTTGAGCCCACACGAGAAAGCCTTAATCCTTGTCTTAAACGGGCAGTTATTTGTGGGGTTTTTTAATTGATTCTAATTTCCAGAGGGGAAACCAACAGAGAAAACAACAGAGAAAACAACAAAGAGTCTTGTGCAGTGTTTTCCCCCCCTAAAATAAATACCGTATTTTTTGCTCTATAAGACTCACTTTTTCTCTCCTAAAAAGTAAGGGGAAATGTGTGTGCATCTTATGGAGCGAATGCAGGCTGCACAACTATCACAGAAGCCAGAACAGCAAGAGGGATTGCTGCTTTCACTGTGCAGTGATCCCTCTTGCTGTTCTGGCTTCTGAGATTCAGCATTTTTTTTTTCTTGTTTTCCTCCTCCAAAAACTAGGTGCGTCTTGTGGTCTGGTGCGTCTTATAGAGCGAAAAATACGGTAAATAAAGATGTTTAGGGGTACTGTCATTTTGACTCAAGAAGACCACCATTTTATAGTTCAAATCGGGAAAAATAAATACAGTAAATGGACAAAAGTACAAAGTTTCCCAAAATGTTTAGGGGTATGTGTACTCCTGCATCCTCCCAGAAAAAAAGCACTGGTCTTGTGGAACGTTAGAGTCTAAACACCTATTGTGGCATAAATTTTGTGAACCAGAGTCCACTTCATAAGATGCATGAAGTGTAGTCCTCAGCTGACGTGTGTGTGTGTGTGTGTGTGTGTGTGTGTGTGTGTGAAGGGAAACAAATTAGAAGTTGTTAAATGGAACAAAAAAGTACACAGTCACAACCGTTGCAGCAGATAATGAATCTAATTTGTCATACACCCTCTAAAAATCGGGTTGTTTGAATTTCCCCCAGAAGATGGCGATCTAAAGCCACTGATCTAAAGTCATTGGCATTCAGTACTGTATTAGCTATGCAAATGTGATTCATATCACCACACCACAGCCCAAAGGGTACAATAGAGCCTTAATTTCCCCATCTGCCCCTTGCATTCCAACCTGAGCAGACAGGTGTACACACAAACAGCCAAAGGGATCAAGAAATGGAACATCTGTGTTCTTCAAGCACAAGTAACTAGCATACTGGCAGCATTTTTAATCAACATTTACTCAAAGGCATTTTTGCTTTCTGCTTGAAACACTTAACTGACTTTCTTGGGTGTGTTTCACAATCGTTTCTACCCTGTCTCCCCACCCCACCCTACCATGGTCACAGCTTCTATCAATTAGATTTGAAAAGCTAGTAAGGGTATAAAACATATCATGGGCTTCTTGCAATTCGTTTTGCCTTGCGGGGATGTCTGCCTAAGCAACTGTATGGTGTTTAATGGTGTCATGCTTCATTTTCCTGAAAATGGATCACCAGAACTGCTTCCTGCCAGAAAGCAAACTCCGCGTGATGCAAGAGGACTCTCTATCAATGTTGCTGTGCCTACTGCTTTGGCACCATGATCACACATGTCTATAGCGTGGGCCTAGGAGCCCTAGTGTGTGGGATGCAGTAGTCACATCAAACGCTGGCACATATTCTCTCCACCCACTCCCAAGAACTGAGAAACACTGAGATGCTACGAATATAGCAATGCAGGTTTTAGAGCAGCAGCAGTTTGAAATACTATATTAGAAATCTCTGGCTCTGACCACTCATGCACATGGGATTATGGAATTAATAGCATTGCTGAAATTTGATCGCCATTTCCCCCTTTACAAATACCCTCCAATTTCTGCCAAGTTCTTTAAATAGTCATATGGAAGGTAAAGAGATCAGTGAGCTGGAGCAAGCATTTTTTTAAAAAATTTTTTTGCACCGCTCCCAGAGGCAAAGCATGATATTTTGCTCTCCCAAGAGTTGTACCCCTGTGTCTGTAACACTGCAAGAGATTCCAAGTTCCCTAGTGTTCGGTGGTGCCCCTGAAAATGTGACTATAGAGTACCTGTTCGAGTTTCCAGACTGCATGGTTCTTCACTCAGGAATGACTAAAGGTGGAGTGTCTCCTTACAGTAGATTTCTGCTTGGAGTGCTAATTCAAAATCAGTTCTAAGGACCTGGAAATCTCAGGTCTAGTGCCTCTCTTGCCAAGTAGATGGGCTTAGAGAGTCCTTAGATATTTGAGAATAGTGTCCTTAAAATGTACTAATAAACAAAAGCCACCTGCAGATGGGCCACCAAAGAGTCTGACTTGCTTTAATAGGAGCAAACCCTAATC